ATGAGCTTCAGAGAGGCCACCTCCTCAGCGGCCTGCTGGATAGCTTGGCCGAGCTTGGGATCCAGCCCAAACTTCATGTTGACCGTCGCAGCCGCGCCCTTGAGGATGCCGAAGGCGCGCACAATGGGCGGCGGCATGCGGTCCTGGGGCTGGTTGATCTTGAAGTTCTCGAGCGAGCGCTCCGTCTGGGCGCCCCAGTACTTGTCCGAAGGGACCTGGATCTCGCCAAAGGCATCGCTTTCGGTGCGCGTGTTGGCCATGGTGCTGGTGACGCTGAATTGGCGGCGCTGGAAGAGGCTCTGCGTCTTCAGCGGGGTATGGCGAGTGGTGGAGAGGGGACGCGTGCTGCGGGCACAGCAGAAGGAGGGGCTGGCCTTCGCATGTGCGAGTGATCGTAATGCTCCGGCCTCGGCGGCGCGGAGCTTCGTTGCGCTTCGGAACATGGTAGCAGCAGCTGCTGGCGGGGGGCAGGATGGGGGGAGAGGGTGGAGAAGACGCCGAATTGGCTAATGGTGTGCGCAGCGAAGACTAGAGCGCAAGTCGCAAGTCGCAAGACAGAAGATGGACAATTGCTGCAACGCAAAATGCTGCCGTTCCGAGCTCTGACCTCATGCTCGCGGGAATTGCCTCCGGTCTCTCCCGCGGCATAACTCGTCATCACATGACTGGTCAGGTGCCAAGCCCCAGGTGGATGAAGGCTCCAAGAACGCAAACTTGAACATGGAAGAATGTGGTCGGCATGAATTTTCTGCTTACTTGTCACCGCCAGCTCCGAGTACCGCCGCTCAGCACCATGTTCTCCTGCCGCTCGCCTTCCGTACTGCCGGCGCCAAAGTCGCAGCATTCCAAGGTTAGCCCGCGATGACTTCCGCATGCAACGTCAAGCGTTCCGTCGCCTCGTCTGCGCTGATGGGGGCGTCTCTCTCATGTCCCACAGCCCCGGCCAGCCACTGTTCCCAACTTTTCTCAACATCACACCGCGCAGGACGCTTGTAAGGCCGCGTCTATGCCATCTGCTGGAGATTCTGGCTCACCTTCTGCACATATATGCTTTGGCCGCTCCGGTCGGGCTAGTGGAATCTCTGCATAGCACCGATAAAAAGCTTCGGCATTATCGGGCACACCCTGTTGAGTGAAACACACCTCGTACCGAGAGCCTGTCCCTACCCAAACTCCTGCCTGCATCGCGCCCGCTGAGTACGGCTGAGGGTCCGATTTATTGGGTGATGATGATGGCTCCTGCATTCGATTACTGACGATCTAGAGCTATGAGGGCAAACGACCAAGTACGTCTGGGAAGCTAGGTCGCAGCGTGACGCCTTGGAACCATGTGCCCTGCGCTTTTCCGTCTTCCGACGACTGGTCATATTAGATTAACGTAGCGAGTCAAGTCAGAGTGCACCTGATCTGTCTCCACCATCCTTTCGATCCATGCTGGGCGCTCGCCTTCGAGCGTGCCAACGTAACATGGAGCTAATAACCCCTCATCTTCACCTACGGCCCAGTTTCCCAGCCTCAACAAACACTCCTGTTTGTATCTGCTGTCTGCTGTCTTTTGCAGCCTGCTATTGTGTGTCCAAGCCCACTCCACCTTTGCATTATTCCGTCCGCGAAGCACGGCTTCAGCTGGGCCGCACGTACTTGCTTAGCCGCAGATAAGGCTCCCATGACGCTGATCGAGCCTTCTACTACGAACCCCTCTACCCAACGACTGCCTCAATCAAGGCCGAGTTATTCTGACAGCTGTTCGCAATCTGTACACGATAGCGTCAACATCCGCGTCCCTCCAGACCTTTGCTCGCCACCGATCGACACAGCTTACGAAACGATACAGCCTGTGAAAAAAGGTGCAAGACATCTGCAGAACTGCTCGTATGGCTGAGTCTGAGTACGGCGCGGCTCTCTGGGTTCACGATAGGATAGGCGCTCGAAACTCAGATGCTGAGCTGACTGCCCCGCTTCTCGCTGCGCATTACACCGTTCCAACAACAACTTCCAACGCTGTATCGAAATCCATACATACCCAATAGCAGCTCTTCCATGTCTCAGGCTCAGGATGCACCGAATGTGTCTACTAGCAGCCACCCACAATTATGTCCAGCTTTGCCACCCATTGGAATGCGTCACCACTACTATGCTCCTCATGCACACTCGTACCAGTTCACAAACCCTCAAAGACCATCGCAAACCTGGAGCGGGCCTCCGCACCTACATCCTGACCAGGCATTCTATGACCCTAGCGTCATTTCCCAGGGTGACCAGCTACGCCATCACCCAGGAGCACCGAGGCACGACTTTCCGCTACTAGGGTCACCACATGCAGCGCCTCCTTCAAATCCCCGACATCGACATGATTACAGACGACACGATCACAGAATGAGTGCCGGAGCGGTGACAGGTAGTATACCTACTGACATTACACGCTTCCCTGAAGCACGGGATTCAGTAGCACCCCCGGAAGCCCGGTTTCAGCATCCGCGACTACCTCTTCAAGAAGCAATCCACCCAGGTGAGCCAATGTATTCTGGATTGCCTGCACGTCAGTGGACGTCACACGAGGTGCCGAACCGCCGCTCAGACCGTAGCGTATCCCCGCGCACGTCGAATCGCCGCAACTTTGACCGATACTCGGTTGACCTCTCCCATTCGAGCACGTCGTCTGACGCAGAAGAAGCGGCTGCCCGTGCACCGCCACTGAATCGTATGAGGCATCGATCTAGAGAGGTGCGGCCGCGTATCGCGGGCCGCTACCCGCCTCAATTCGATCCTAATATCGCTACTGCTCGCCAAATCGATCAATTGAAAAACAGCCTCCAACGGCATCTACCAAGTGCGCTTCCAGAGAAAGCGTCCAAGGCTTGTGACATATGCCAGAAGGACTATGCCGCTACACATGTGTCACCTACAGAAGAGGAAGAAATCGCCATTGAACTCTCGTGCGGACACACCTTCGGAGAGTTCTGCATAGGTCAATGGGTAAGTGGTAGTCCCTTGGAGATAGCAGATGCCTGCTCACATGACCTAGTTTGAGACGTGCAGAACACACAAGAACAAAGTCACCTGCCCCATGTGTCGGAAGCAGCTCATCGAAACACCACGATTTATGCCGAGCATGATGCAGGGGCAAGCGTTTCTTGATCTACTCGCTCGCCAGAATATGCACGTCACTGATCTCTACAGCCACTTTCCGCAGGCGTGAGCGATGCGAGGGATTCGACTCAGGATGTGATTTTCGAAGCTATGATATCATTGTTTTACACAGATGGCCTTGGCAGGGCGATCGAGGCGTTGCAGATGGGTAGGGTGTTTTGGTGAGTGTTGCACAACAAGTGCGTAATTAGGGTGAAGAGGAATCAGACTGGACATGTACATAGCATGGTAGGGAGGGGCATATAAACATCAGCATCTTTGTGGATAGCACTTTTGCATGTGCAGCCCTTGCGTCGATCTGGGCTCCACTTCCCGGGATGCCTGGAATTCATCGTTGCCCGGAGCCCACCTAGCCCCAAACATGCACCCCGCCATCAACACAACCTTGACCCTCTTCGCCCTGCACCCGTCAGACTGCAACGTCGTGTGAGATACTGGACTGCATAACCACTGTCGCCGATTGCTTGCGCCCCCACTGCCGACTCTTTGCTTCTTCGTGCCTGCTCGCGCCCCACTGCTCTTAGCTGCTGCCATCCACCGCTCCTTCTCCGTCGCCTAGTTGCCATCGCGCCATGGAGGACAGCAACAGAGACAGCTTCCAACTGCCCGCCCCTCCCCCTCCACTCCAGACCCGCGACAACGCAATGGATCGCCCAGGCACCCCGACGGGCGAGGCTTTCATGAGCCCGCAGCAGACGCCCCAGGGCAGCCCAAGCAAACACCACCAACCGCCCGGCGCGTTCGATCTGCCGCACGTCTTCGAAAATGCCATGCGGCTGCTGCCCACCATGGGCTCGCCCTCCAAGACGAAGCCCGGATCGCCCACATCACCCAACAAACTGCAGATCGGCAGCAATGGCGCTGACTACAGCACCATGGATAGTCCCAGTCTCGCACCGGGCAGCCCCACACGCAAGTCAAATCAGGAGAACACCCCCCCGAGTGGCCGCCCGGGCCTGCAGAAGGAGTCGAGCTACCTCACACACGCAGCGCAGTCGCGCCAGGAGCCCTACAGGACGCGCGAGGACGGCCAATCGACACGCTACATCAATGGCCCCCAGCGTCTTTCCCCAGAAGAACTCGAGAAGGCGCGAAAGCCAGCCGTGAAGCGCCTGGCAAACGTGACCCAGCTGTGTAAGCTGCCTGCCTTGCACCACGGCTATCCAGTGCTAATGGCTATCTAGACTTCCTCGACTACTACTACGACCTCCTCACCTACGTACACAGCCGCCAGAGCCGTCTCTCCCAGTTCAAGGCTCAGAACCCTCCCCCTCCAGACACACCCGAAGAAGAGTACAACGATGCCCTCACACAATACCTCGGCCGTGAGCGTGCCAACCTCCGCAAGCGACGCACTCGGTTAAGGCAGGGTGACTTCCAGATTCTCACACAGGTCGGCCAGGGTGGCTATGGACAGGTCTATTTGGCCCAGAAGAAGGATTCGCGTGAAGTGTGCGCTCTAAAGGTCATGAGCAAGAAGCTGCTGTTCAAGCTGGACGAGGTTCGCCACGTCTTGACAGAGCGCGATATCCTTACCACTGCTAAGAGCGAGTGGCTGGTCCGCTTGCTCTACGCCTTTCAAGACGACAAGAGCATCTACCTTGCGATGGTGAGCCGCATCAACAGCCGGCATTGAACAGTGTACTGACATTTGCTAGGAATACGTCCCTGGAGGCGACTTCCGAACCCTTCTCAACAACACTGGTGTCCTGCACAACCGGCATGCGCGTTTTTACATCGCCGAAATGTTCTCGTGTATCGACTCGCTACATCAGTTGGGTTACATCCATCGCGACCTAAAGCCCGAAAACTTCCTGATCGACAGTACTGGCCATGTGAAGTTGACCGACTTTGGTCTTGCAGCTGGTATCCTTGCACCCTCCAAGATTGAGTCTATGCGCATCAAGCTCGAATCCGTCAGCGATGTCATTTCGCCATTCGGCCGACCCATCGAAGAGCGATCAGCAGCCCAGCGACGAGAGAACTACCGCTCTCTTCGCGAGCGAGATGTCAACTACGCAAAGAGTATCGTCGGCAGCCCCGATTACATGGCACCTGAAGTGTTGAAGGGCGACGAGTACGACTACACAGTTGACTACTGGAGTTTGGGATGCATGTTGTTTGAGGCTCTGGCCGGCTATCCACCATTCGCCGGTGCCACAGTAGACGAGACCTGGCAGAACTTGAAGCAGTGGAAGAAGGTGCTCCGGAAGCCCGTCTATGAAGACCCATCCTACTTCCTCTCGAAGCGCACATGGGACCTCATCATCCGTCTCGTGGCTTCCAAGTCTACCCGCTTCCGTAATATCTCCGAGATCCATGCCCATCAGTACTTCGCAGAAGTTGACTGGGCGAGGCTGAGGGAGCAGAAGGCACCCTTTGTACCCGAACTGGACAGTGAGACGGATGCCGGATACTTTGACGACTTCGGTAGCGAAGCCGACATGGCAAAATACAAGGAAGTACACGAGAAGCAGGCTGCCTTGGAGGCCATGCAGGACCGCAACGTCCAGATGGGCAAGGGCCTATTCGTTGGATGTAAGTCTTCATCCTCAGTTTTGTCCATGTCAATCGCTAATGATTCTGTAGTCACATTCCGCCACAAGAAGACAGCCGATGAGAACGGCAAACCATCGAGTCCAAGGAAACCACTTCCCATGGTTGAGGAGAACTTCGGCACGATCTTCTGAAAATATCTGTTTCGCTCTGTTTGCCGAAGCACTGGTTGCGTTGGCGCTTTCTCTCCTGTGTACATCTACTTCTTGTCATTATCGCAGTGCCTAAGAGCTGTGAAGTTGAGACGAGTTACGAGATGCGTGCATGAGTAGTCGCTTGCCAGGTCGCACGTCATAGTATGATTATCAGATTTGGCGTTTAGTTGGGACAGCATAGTTTATTGGGCGGGCGAGTGCGTTGCATGCATTCGAGAAGTCGTGTATCAGTAGATGAGTATACAAGTATGAAGGCAGTGATTACTGAGAACGTGGAATGCAACCTGTATACTCAATGACCACACGAAATCACCTGACCGCGGGATCCCAGGCGACGCGCTAGGTGCTAGTTCCCGCCCTTTCGTCCCCTCAATCGCAAAGCCCACTCCACCCTTACGTCAACCTACATACGACATCACCACGATGCCCGGTCTAGTTCAGCGAGGACGAAAGCGCCCGTCGCGCGCTATCAGCGAGGGCGTCGACGAGCCTTCCGATGCCTCATCCTCGCCTTCCACAAACGGCAAACGCGCCCGCCATGGCCGAGACGCGCCTTCCAGTTCCGCGCAAACGAACGGCGACCCGAACGGCTCGACCGCATACGCTGAAGGTGACTTCAAGGCAGGTTCCCTCGTCAGGGTCAAGCTTGTCAATTTCGTCACATACACGGCTGCCGAGTTTCATCTGGGGCCAAGCCTGAACATGGTCATCGGTCCCAACGGCACTGGAAAGAGTACCTTGGTCTGCGCAATCTGTCTGGGCTTAGGATGGGGCAGCGAACACTTGGGACGAGCCAAAGAGGTGGGGCAATTCGTCAAACACGGTGCTGCCGAAGCCACCATCGAGATCGAGCTTGCAACGGGTCCCGGCAACGGCCCCAATCGCATTGTCAGGCGTGTCATACGCAAGCGCGACAACAAGTCCGTCTTCTTCCTTGATGGCTCACATGCGACGAAGGATGCTGTAAAAGCAATGGCCAGGCGATATTCCATTCAGATCGACAACCTCTGCCAGTTCTTACCGCAAGACCGTGTGGTGGAGTTCGCGAGGATGAGCGACGTCGATAGATTACGAGAGACCCAACGCGCTGCAGCGCCTCCGCATATGGTAGCATGGCATGATCAGCTCAAGGAACTGCGTACAAAGGAACGCGCTTTGGAGACGAAGCAGAAGAACGAACAGAGCCATCTAGTCATGCTGGAGAAAGCACAAACCACAACAAAAGATGACGTGGACCGCTACCATCAACGAGAAGGCCTTGTGCGGAAGTCGAAGTGTTTGAAGTCGGTCAAGCCTATCATTGAGACAAAAATTCTCAAGACTGAGATTACTGCAGTAAAGGCAGAGATTCGAGACGCCAGACTGGAACTCGATCAGATCAACATCGACATAGAACCAGCGCGAAGGGCTCAAGCAGAAGTCGAAACATATCAGAACGATATTGAGCAAATCGTAAACCTTCGCAAGAACCGCGTCGACATGATCAAGGCACAGGCCGAAAAGCTCGTAACAAAGATTGACACCAGCAGAGCGAAAGCGGCGGAAGCCGACAATCAAATCAAAGCCGAATTGAGTCTAAAGAGAAAGCGCGCAGATGACATGGTTCGTCTCAACCGCGATATCACTAGGCTGGAAGCACAACGAAAGGACCGGCCCGCGCAACTCGACGCCGAATCTTACGAGCAGCGCAAGTCAGATCTTCGCGATCAGATCTCTACTAAGACGAGCCTTATCTCCGACAAGAGAAGTAGCATGAAAGAGCTAGCTACCCGCGCAGGCAGCATTTCGGCGCGAAGCGCACAGCTGAACGCTAACCGGGAACGACTGAACACACAGAGCGGAAAGCAAGCGAGCCTTTTGATGAAACTATCCCCCCAAACAGCTGCTGCATGGGACTGGATCCGACAGAACAAAGCATCTTTGCAGTTAAAAGGTAGAATCTACGGCCCGCCGATACTGGAATGTTCTGTCATAGAAGCCAGGTATGCCCAGGCCGTTGAGAACCAAATGCGAAGAGGCGATATCATTGCCATCACCTTTACCCACGACGAGGATCAGAAGCTGCTGCAGAATCGTCTTATCACCAAGAAAGCCAACGGCGGACAAGGACTCAATGATATTTATCTCCGAACATCACCAAAGCCGCTTTCTTCTTATAAATCCCCCGTTGACAAGACAGGCCTGGCCCAATTAGGGTTCGAAGGGTACATTTTGGACTACCTCAATGGACCCGACCAGGTACTAGCGATGCTTTGCGATAGTTGTAAAGTGCACCAGATTGCATATGCTGCAACACCAATATCCAATGCGCTGCATGACGTTGTGGAGAAGCAAAGCCCGATTCGTAGCTGGGTCAGTGGTTCGGATACCTATCGCGTTATCTCACGCTACAACCAGTCTTCTACATCTGTTACGCCACTGAGATCGGCGCAATGGTTTGTAGATCAACCAGGCAATACGGAGGAGTTGCGAGACATCATCGAGGAGCAAAAAGGGCTGGTGCGAGAGAAAGAAGAGCTAATCGAAAATCACAACCTCCTCAAAACCGATGTCAGCAAACTTGAGGAGGAGAATGAAGATCTCAAACAACAGAAAGTACATACTACTGCCACTGGATGCGAAGGCGCAAAGCACTGACAATCTGGCAGGATGCTGTACAGGCCGAGCAGGAAGGCCTCAAAAAGGCTTTGGCCGAATGGGAAGCTCTCCCCGACAAAATTGGTGGGTGTCTTAGCTATGCGAGAAGCACTACTTGCTAATCATGTGTAGCATCAAAACAAACCGACCTGCACAACAAAACACAGGAGAACGCAGAGACCACGGCCCGCATCAAATCTATCAAAACCGACGCTCGTGCTACGTCACTGCATGTAGCGAACTTGACAATTGAATATGGTGTAAGTTACAAACATTCCTTTTCCGGAGTAGTGCTGACGATCTCACAGAAAGTTGTGACCCAAATGAGGGCATTCCACGAGTCACTTGTCGAGGCCGAGATTCGGCTCATCGAAGTTAAGTCGGAACTCAGGAGTCTCATAAAAGAGAATCGCACGATCCTGGACAAACAGAAAGCACAAGAATCCAAGATCACCGAACGCGCGAATCACGAGCGAGGTCTTCGGGCCAGGTACAGAGAATTGCAAGAGGCTACACAGAGAGACATTTACAGTCTCAGCGAGGAAGAAAGGCAGATCGTCATGGAATACAAAGAGCTTCCCACACTCGAAGCCTTGGAGCTAGAGGTTCAGTCGGTCAACGCCCGGCTGGACATGATGGCCGAAGGTAATCCTGGGGCGATCAGGGCCTACCAGAGGCGTGAGGAAGACATCAAGACAACGCGTGAGAACCTGGAAAAGTACGCTGCCAGTCTCGAAGAGATCAAAGATGACATTACAGAGATCCGCGAGAAGTGGGAGCCCGAACTCGACATTCTCATTCGAAGGATCAGCGGGGCTTTCGCGCACAACTTCGAGCAAATTGGATGCGCTGGTGAAGTCGAGGTGAACAAAGACGAAGACGACTTTGACAACTGGTCCGTCCAGATCTCAGTCCGCTTTCGGTAAGCTCAAATTATGATGCTCATACGCAAACCTAGCTAATGATCCCAACAGAGAGAACGAACCGCTCAGCGTATTGAACTCTCACCGCCAGTCTGGTGGCGAGCGCGCCGTGTCAACAATCTTCTACCTCATGGCGCTACAGGATCTCGCCCAGTCACCATTCCGCGTCGTCGACGAAATCAACCAGGGTATGGATCCCCGCAACGAACGCATGGTACATGAGCGCATGGTGGACATTGCATGCCAAGAGAACACAAGCCAATACTTCCTCGTCACCCCCAAACTTCTGCCTGGTCTCAAGTACCACGAGAAGATGAAAGTGCACGTTATCAACTCCGGAGAGCACATTCCGGTGGCACAGGGTGTTCAGGGTGAGTGGAATCTCTCGAGTATGGCGGAGATGGCACTGCGGGTGAGGAGGAGCGTTGCAGTTCTCTGATCAATGGAAGCGTTTGGCACAGACTATTACGATACTTGCGCAGGAGGCATGAACGAAAGTACGGATACTACGGTAGCCTAGTGGCGTTTTGGTTTGATATGTTTCACGGAGGAGGGGTTTGGTAACGGCGCACGAACGGACATGCAGGTACGACGGACAGCAGTCAGCGACATTGAGTGCACATCGAATGCTCTCAACCTTTCTTATCAGCACTATCTCATAGAGCGCGCAGGATATATATTGAGGTACCCGTATCCGTGCATGAGCATGCAACCGTTTCCCTGGACACACCCTGTTCGTGCGACCGCTGGTGCGACCGCTGACGCCACTAAGCGGCGCTGTGTGCGACACCAATAATTCAGGAATGCTTGTACTAGTTTATATAGCCGACTCTACTCGGTCCCGATGCATTATACGAGCCTTTGAGCTGAAAGGATGATGATGTTCTCGTAAGAGACTTGGTATGCTGGCGCTGCTTACATGCATTATAGGCTGGGATGGGGCTATGGTTCGATGCACTGCGTACCAGGGTCACGTCATGGCGCAGGATTATATGGGTCATATTACATTGTGACGAGCAAACATGGGGGCGTAGGACCAACAGAAGAATGTGTGCTGTTGATTGAAATATATATCAGCCGTGGGTAAAGGGTTGCGATGCTAGACATCTAAGTTCTATCGCTCTCGACATCGCTCAACTCAGCCTGGATCAACCTCCCACGATAGAAGCCAAAGCACTGATACCGAACGTCTTAATCACCGGCCAGAACTTACATCATGATAATCCCATCGCCCCTCATAACTTTCCTCCCCCTTCTCATCTCCCTCACTATCGCACTCCCCTCTCCCCTCCGCTATTCTCTTTCCGCCCGCGAACCCTCTCTCGCCGCAGAAGAAACATGGCACATCCCCCGCCTAAACATGCACATGATGAGCACCAGCACCGGCATCCCCGGCAGCGGGCCTTGGCCCGAAAGCTCAAAGTTCGATTCTACGATCGACTTTGATGTGGTGGTGCCTGAGGAGGCTCCCCTAGGAACATCGAAATGGAATTGCAAGGGTACGATGAAGAACGGTACTATTATTGAGGACGTGGTGGGCTGTGTGAATGATCAGGGTGGAGTAGGTGATGTGTCGTTTGGAATGACGGGATATGCGGCGCTTGGTGAACGGAGGCCGGAGTTGAGCTTTTGGCTGTGGGTTCATCGCGTCGGGTATGTTTCGTTCTACTTCCTCATCGTCCTGCATCTGATGGGGTACGAAACCATCACGTATTTTGACTGTGTTAACACTTTCATTTCGGCATACAGGGAAGGCAGCGATGGTCGCGCCAGCATACTTGACGGCGCAACGGCGATTACGGCGAACGACCCACAGGAATCGAGTAGCTACCTCACGTGTCTTCTTGGCAGACCGTTCGATGGACTGAGGTGCGAGATTGGGAGTTACCTGAGTGTGAGAAAGGAGCTTGTTATTGAGGGGTCGGAGGTGCGTTGAAAAGATGGTGGGTAGATAGGAGGCCGATTATCGAGGCGACGCTGTGGAAAGTGATGTTTGGTATTTGTTCAGACGAATTGTAATGTTGTTGCGTTGGGAGGGAGCAAACTGTTGTTCTGAGTCTATGTCACACAACATGTATGTTGTGCGTCCAGTGGCGGGAGGGACGTGTTTCAGCATCTCATCATATCATATTTACGATCATGACTTTGACAGGCTGATTCTGCCAAGATAGACGTCAGCTGTGGTTGCTGTCATTAATGTTGCAATTTTCAACCAAGATGATGAATTTCCCGCATCAGATCAGGGCTCTTATCGCGACTACTGATATAGATGAAAAGCACTGGGTGTGATTGAGGCTGCGAAAACGACATGTTGACGTTGGAGACGTTGCTTCGTTGAGGTGGTACTGCAGGTACACTACCGCAGATAGACACGACGAGACTGTTGTGATTGTTTTGCTCGAGCGCAAACTCGCCGCTTTCCCCTCTTCTTGTCAACGACCTCTTTGTTCAGCCTCAACGCGCGTTGTTCTTGTTAGTCACACTGCACTTTGAAGTTCCCATTGCTGAGTGCGATTACAAAAACGAGGCTTATATGTGCCTCGTCAGTCGGCGACACGGCTTTTTCTGGAAATGAGGAGACTGGTTGTGCGGTAAGTGTTGTTTTTGATGCTGTTGTCACCTAGGTATACGCGACTAATGGACTGTATTAGACCTGCTCTTCTGAAGCTCGGGCGACAACGACTGGCATTGCGCAGGCGCGACACTCAGTCAGTACATCACGATCTTCAGGGGCTGGAACCGTCTCGGATAATTGTATCTCACTCAGTCAAGTGTTGCACCGAGATGACTCGACCATGCCGCCTGGTCACTCAGCGGAAACACCTCGCGTCTCCTCTCAGCTCAGCACTCCAGTCAAGGCGGGCATCATTACTGCCTCCATCGTCATCTTTCTAGTCATGCTCCTGCTGGTACTCGAGCATACCTATCTCCGCCGCAAAAGCTACGAGCGCGCACTCAAACGAGCGATCGTCGAGGTGGAACGTGGAACTGAGCTAAAGAGAATGACGGAGAGTGAAAGCAAAGAGATCCTAGTGTTGGAGAGTGGAGTTGAGAATATCGTGGATAATGAAGGGCAGGACAGTATGAGTGAAAGCTGGGACGGAGAGGGTCCATGGGATGCAGGTACAGTCGATGAAGATGACGCTGGAGACTTGAGTGAGTGGGGAAGAAGGCGAAGACGCGAGATTGGGCGGAATGGAATGAGTCTTCCGCGAAGAGGACGATGGTGTTGGGGCCATGGCAACGGCACGGTGGCTGGCATTGGGAGGACCTTGTCTCCGATTAGTCTCCGATATTTACAGTGTCCAGCTTTCGAGTATGTCTTGCTTGTCAAGGTTTGGTATGCTTTGGAGTATTCCAGGGCGAATTTGTGCCCTGAGATCTTTTTCCCTGGTTTGTTTGAGATGAATGCTAGAAAGCAGTGTTACTCAGCGCCAATTCCGATAAGCTAGGATTGCGCGTATATCTCATACAAGGGCAATATTGAAGACTCGGGAGCTTGCAATACCTTGGAGATTTACGAATTTTCGTTGATCTGCTATTATCAGCCTGCAGGGCAGCTCTTTAGCTGCTTCTTTGTATACGGCGTATAACAGGTATGTTGGTCTAGGACTTACATTTAGCTCCATTGCGTGCAAGATAGGTATACTGTCGAATCGCTGGCATCTGTGCGTCACTCATGATTTTGATCACGAAGGCAGTCGCCTACGTATCTGACTACTCACAGTGGGCGATGCCGATCGTGTTGGCTGACCCTGGTTCGGCATTCTTGGGATGTGGTAGTCGCGCCAAATGAGGCAGGTAAAGTGTCGAAGTCAGCATACCGCGCTTATCTTTAGGTCGAAGCGTCGTGGGGCGGCCTTCCAAGGCTTTCTCCAGGCAACAGAATCCTAGTATATAAGGCATGCCGCATCGCCGCTCCCGATATTCCTCCTTTTTCTGTACCTGCCAAACACTTTTGCATCACACCAATATCACCAATGTCGGCCGCCACAGACAACACAGTATATGTCGTCACCGGAGCAAATCGAGGTCTTGGTCTTGGCCTTGTGCAATCGCTTCTTGCGCGTCCTCAACACACGGTGGTCGCCACAGTCCGTAGCGAGCAAGCCAAACATGTCTTGGAAGACGAGATCAAGAGCATCTGGACAGGGACTGGCAGCAAGCTGGAGATCATACAGTACGACTTCTCCACGGCTATCGACCCCAAGCAGGTGGAAAGTAGTTTCGCCGAATTGGATATTCAGCATATTGACGTTCTGGTCCTCAACGCTGGAGGCGCACAGCCAATGGTCCCACCAAGCGAGACCACAGCCGAAGACTTGCGCGCAGCTTTCGAGACCAACACCATCGCGCCTCTGCTCGTCTTCCAGGGCCTGAAACCATATCTACTGCAAGCCAAATCCACACCTAAACTTATCTGGGTCACCTCTTCAGTCGGAAGCATAGCCGACATGGACCCGTTTGGCGGCGGTGCCTATGGTCCTAGCCGAGCGGCACAGAACTGGCTAGCGCGCTCCATCCATCTCGAATTCAACGGCACAGAGGGGAACACGCGTCTGATTGCCATTCCCCTGCATCCTGGATGGGTCCAGACGCGAGCGGGCCAGTATGTCGTGGACCAGTGGCAGTTGGCGCTCAAAGCCATCGACTACGACATTGAGCAACCGCCGACAACGCTGGAAGAGAGCGTCTGTGGTATGATCAAAGTCATTGACAATGCGACGGCGGAGCATTCCGGTCAATTCCTCACATATGAAGGCAAGACTCTGCCGTGGTAAGTCAGGGATACTAGAAGGACTCGTACATTTGCGTATATATCCCGCTTAGATAGTATATATATCTATTGTTTGAGTACCAAAAGCCCTAAGAGCAGATACAAAGCTTATTTACATTCAGGAAATAATGAACGTTAATGTAGGTGCATAGCAAGTAACGCAGACAAGCGAGTAACGCACTTTTGCTAAGACCTAACTAAACTTTAAGTATATTATAATAATGCCTTAACTTAATAGTATAGAAAAGATTTTAAATAAAGTAGATATTTAGCTTGTAATATAGGCTATCTAATAAGAGGTAATACTAATAACCTAATAAGCTATAACTATCTATAACGTTTCTAAAGTAATACTATAAAGATAATACACTAAAATACTCTATTAAGATAATAGTATACTTAACTTAATAGCTCTTTAAAAATTAGAAGAAGTAGTAATTATATAATATTATTATAAGTAATATAAAGAATTCTCTTCTTAACATAGAGTAAAGAGGTTAAAGACTAACTATAGCTAAGTTAGAACGTAATAATAATTATAGAGCTTAGAGTTATATAATTAGATTTAGTATTCTACTAAGACTAGGTCTCTAAAAGACTAGTAAAGCTAAAGAAGCTATAGTTTTTCTAAACCTCTCTCTTAAATAGAAAGCTAGAGAGAATAGAACTTAAGATAATAAGTATAAGAATATATTAGATTTTATTATTATACTTATTATAGTTAACTTAAATAGTTTATCTCTTACATAGATTATTAACTAGTTATTCTATTATTTATAAAACTAGATTATCTCTCTTAGGCCTAAGAGACGAGACCTATAGTGTACTTTTTTTTAGAATTACGCGATAACGCGTTACTATGTTAGACCTAATAGTAAACTCGAAAATCTCTAACATTATTAACTAGCAGCACTAATACTAGTCTTATGCGATTAAGCAACACTAAAAGAAAATCTAGTAAGTCTACTCGTACTAGTATTACACAGAGTTAGGCTATACTTCTCTAGGCTTAGTCTATACTAAGGCGAGGTAGACTAAAGCGGTAGTCTGTAAGGTTTGTCTAGTAATTCTGTAGAAAAGAGTTATTGTAGAATAACTACAAGTAAAGACAATCTAATTCTATAAATAATAGAATAACTAGTTAACAATCTATGTAAGAGATAAACTATTTAAGTTAACTATAATAAGTATAATAATAAAATCTAATATATTCTTATACTTATAACTTTAGGTTCTATTCTCTCTAGTCTTCTATCTAAGAGAGAGATTTAGAAGAACTATAGCTTCTTTAGCTCTACTAGCCTTCTAGAGGCCTAGTCTTAGTAGAATACTAATCTTAATTATATAACTTTAAGCTCTACAATTATTATTAAATTCTAACTTAGTTATAGTTAGCCTTTAACCTCTTTACTCTATATTAAAGAGAGAATTCTTTATATTATCTATAATGTTATCCTCTCTTTTAGACGTATTATTCTAATACTCTAGATTATTATTTTACTATACTAATTATTAAGGTGTAGACTATATATAAGGTCTACGCGCTCTAAACTATTATAGCTACCTCTTTTTACCTCTAGCGTCTCTAACTATACCTAAAGTTTAACTCTTAACTTACTATATCTATTTACAAAACTTAACTTGATAGTGTTAGGTCTAGACTAATTATATTTAGTAGTAAGAGAATAGAATAATATTTTATTATAAGCGCTATAAGAAGAAGAACCTTTATTACTTTATAGACACTACGTCTAGGAAGTATACTAGCTATATTTCTATAAAAGCTAAGTATAGTTAATTTATAACTAAGAAAGAGTAAAAAAAGTTAAAGCTAAAAAATATAAAAGTTTTTAGCGCTTCTCTATATAGAAGCTAAAGTTACGTAGCTTTATCTAGAAATTATAGAGGACTAAGGCCTTAGAGCGTTTATACACTAATTAGAATTACGTAATTCTAAGCCTTTAAGACTATATAGAAGAGTAAGCTAAAGAAAACTCTATCTCTAGTGTAGACTTTCTAATAACTAAACTATTACTACCTAGACTATTAACTAACTTAGGCTAGTTATAGACTAACGCTTTTTTTAACTTTTCTTTTAATTACTTTCTTTCTCTTAAGAACTTAGTTCTTACTTCTCTATATATTTCTAGTAGTACTTAAGTACTAGTAACTTATAGTTTATTAAGCTCTTCTTTAGTTTCTAAGAATTCTAGTCTTCTAGCTATTCTTAATACTTAACTAAGTATTTCTACTAACAACTAATTTTTTATAAGTCTTTAATTTCTTTAATCTTATACTTATTATCTTTAAGCTCTATATCTATTACTAGCTTAGTATTTAGAGGTGCTAGTTCTAGAAGTTTTTTATAGAAGATAGAGTAGATATATATACTTAGTAGTAGATAGAGTTTATAATTTACTATGCCTATTTTCTCTAGAATTTTAAATAGTTCTACTTAGAGGTTATCTAGTTTCTTACTTAGTTACTTAGTTTTTAGGTTTTATTATAATAGAAAATCTTTATTTCTCTTTTTAAAAGTTAGTCTCTTAATTCTTTATTTATTTGCTACTTTAGACGTTGTAAGTTTCTTATAAGTAATATTCTTACTTAACGTAGGTGATAAGCGAGTGGCCGGGACAAGCGAGTGGCCGGCTTTTGCCAAGACCCCACCAAAACTCCACCTCCCTCGCGATGCCTCAACGTAACAACGTATTATCAGACCAGAAAGAATCTCAAATACAGCTTGCACTTCAAGCTCTCAAATTAGACGCGACACTTACTATATATCGCGCTGCGAAAGCCTACAAGGTGCCAGAAAGAACGCTTAGACAACAACGCGCTAGAACGCCCTATCAACGCAATAGCATACCCAACTCAATAGTTCTTCGAGGATCAGAAGAGGTAGCAATTGTACAGCATATTCTAAAGCTATTAGAGTAAGGATACCCGCCTCAGCTCGCTAACGTTAAAGAGATAGCTAATAATTTGCTATAGGTCCGCAACCAGAACCTAGTTAGCAAGAGATAGGCTGCAAACTTTGTAAAGCGCCGCCCAGAGCTTAAAGTCAAGTTTAATCAAAAGTACAACTATATTCAAGCTCTCTGCGAGGATCCTAAGGTTATAGGAGACTAGTTCCGCCTAGTATAGAATACTAAAGCTAAGTATAGCATCTAGGACAAAGACACCTACAACTTCGATAAGACAGGCTTCATAATAGGCGTAATATCAACTAGAGCGGTGGTTACAGCAGCAGAGCGTCGAGGACAGCCAAAGACAGTACAGCAGGGCAATCAGGAGTAGGTTACAGCTATTCAGGGCATCAACGCAATAGGGTAGGCAATTCCACTCTTTATCGTCTTTGCTAGCAAGCACCACCTCTCAGCCTAGTACAAGAAAGAAGACCTACCGCAGGATTAGGTTATTAGAGTCTCTAAGAACAGCTAGACAACAAATAAGCTTAGTATTAAGTAGCTAGAGCACTTTAACAAGCATACAAAAGGGAGGGTTGTTAGCAGCCATCGCCTACTAGTTATCAACGGCCACGAGAGCCACAACTTAATCAATTTCCACCAGCTCTGCGAGGAGAAGAAGATAATCACCCTCTACATGCCTACGCACTCTTCGCACCTACTGCAGCCGCTTAACGTTAGGTGTTTTACGTCGCTAAAGAAGGCGTATAGGTGCCAAGCTAAGAAGCTAATGCGCAACAAGATCACTCGCATCACTAAAACAGAATTCTTGCCGTGCTTTATTGCCGCTCATAACACCTTAATTACAACGAGCAATATCCTAAGAGGCTTCCAAGGCGCTAGCTTAGTTCCATTTAATCCAGAGGCTGTAATATTAACGCTCAGCATCCGCCTGCGTACTCCACCAGTACCTACTATTAAAGACAGTCCCTAGCAGTCACAAACCCCAAGTAATACCCTAGAATTTAGGTCGCAATTAAGGCTTATTCGCGAGAGAATTCAGCGGCATGTAGACAGCTCGCCAACCTTAATAGTTAAGGCTGTTGAAAAGCTTGCAAAGGGGGCGGAGATAATAGCGCACTCTCTAGTGTTAATAACTAAGCGCAACGCTAAACTTAAAGCAGCTAACAAAGCGGCTACGCGACGTAAATCGCATAAAAGAAAGCGTGTGCAGAAGGAGAGGACCCTTACAATTAGTAAAGGACTTTAACTAACAACTCTAAAGGAGTTTAGGGCGCGCAGTAATAGGAAGAAGGTTAAGAAGAGAGCGCGTGTTAAAGTAGGCGAACCGTCTTAAAGACGCTGTAGACACTGCGGCGAGGCTAGACACAACTCGCGTACATATTAGTAAGATATAGTAGAAGTTTCTAATTAATTTAGTCTGTTGCGATTTCTAATTACAGGTTTGTACAGTCCTGCACTGTCGTGTATAGTCGTAGTTTTAGTAGGGTCTTGGCAAAAGCCGGCCACTCGCTTGTCCCAGCCACTCGCTTATCACCTACGTTAGTTCTTTATATAGTTTCTATATAAGACAGGCTTAATATATACGCCTACTATAATGCTTTCTATATTCTTTAGATCTTAATAAGTAGTTAGCTTATATCTATAGTTTATATAGCGCAGTAAGTACTTTATAGTTACTAATCTTGTACTATTATAGGCTAATTATACTATTAGTAAGAGTTTAACCTAGTTATCTTAAAGCTTATTAGCGTACATTCTTAAGTATTATTCTAGTGTCTAGTTTATTTAGTCTATCTAGCTATCTATCTTAAGGTAGAAGCTAGTTAATAGCTTCTTCTGTATACCTAATTTTACTAGAAATGTTATCTAGTACTTAAACTATAAATAGTTTATCTCTATCTATTATAAATTATTCTAATATACTATAACGTAGATGATAAGCGAGTGAAACCTTTAAGCGAGTAGAACCTTTTTACTAAGACCTAACTAAAAGTATAACTACACATAACTATATAGCACTATTTAGAATAGCAATTAATATTTATAGTAGACTAAATTAATTAGAAACTTCTACTATATCTTACTTATATGTGCGTAAGTTATGTTTCTGCTTGCTGCAGCGTTTATAGTGTCTTTAAGACAACTCGCCTACTTTAATATATACTTTTTACTTAATCTTCTTTCTATCGCTGCGCGCTCTAAACTTATTTAGAGTTATTAGTTAAAGTTCTTTACTTATTATAAGAGTTCTTTTTTTCTATATACACTTTCTTTTATATAATTTATATTGCGT